ACTGAGCTACATCCCAGCCCCTTACTGGGGTATTCTAGGCAGGGGCTCTACCACTGAGCCACACCCCAGCCCCTCACTGGGGGATTCTAGGCAGGGGCTCTACCACTGAGCCACACCCCAGCCCCTCACTGGGGGATTCTAGGTAGTGATCTACCACTGAACTATATCCTCAGCCCTGTTTTTCTTATTTTGTTGATATAGGACATTAATAAATTGCCCACGAAACTCAAGTCCAAGTGGATCAAAGACCTCAACATAAATCCAGTTACACTGAACTTGATAGAAGAGAAAGTAGGAAGTACTCTTGAACGCATTGGTACAGGAGACCACTTCCTAAATATAACACCAGTAGCACAGACACTGAGAACAACAGTTAATAAATGGGACCTCTTGAAACTAAGAAGCTTTTGTAGGGCAAAAGACATGATCAATAAGAGAAAAAGACAGCCTACAGAATGGGAAAAGACCTTCACCAACCCCACATCTGACAGAGGATTGATCTCCACAGTATATAAAGAACTCAAGAAACTAGACATCAAAATACTGAACAATCCAATAAAAAAATGGGCTAAAGAGCTAAACAGAATTCTCAACAGAAGAACCTCAAATGGCTGAAAGACATTTAAGGAAATGCAAATCAAAATGACTCTGAGATACCACCTTACACCTGTCAGAATGGCTAAGATCAAAAACACTGAAGAAAGCTTATGCTAGAGAGGATGTGGAGCAAGGGGAACACTCCTCCATCGTTGGTGGGAATGCAAACTTGTACAACCACTCTGGAAATCAGTATGGTGGTTTCTCAGAAAATTGAGAATTAATCAAGACCCAGCCATACCACTCTTGGGCATATACCTAAGGAATGCTCAATCATACCACAAAGATACATGCTCAACTGTGTTCACAGCAGCATTATTCGTAATAGCCAGAACCTGGAAACAACCTAGATTCCTGTCAACTGAAGAATGGGTTAAGAGAATGTGGTACATATACACAATGGAGTACTACTCAGCAGAGAAAAACATGAAATTTGCAGGTAAATGGATGGAACTAGAAAATGTCATCCTGAGTGAGGTAACCCAAACCCAGAAGGACAGACATGGTATGTGCTCACTCATAAGTGGATTCTAGATATAAAGCAAAGAACAATCAGACTGCAACCCATAGAACCAGGGAGGCTACATAGCAGGGGGGACCCTAGGACGACTGTGGCTTAGAATAAGTTTTGGTCTTACTCAATCACTGGGCAAACTATAGTGAAACATTTCACTATTAGGATAAGAATTTGTACTGTATCAAGCTGATAATAGAAAAAATTAAATTAAATTTAAAAAAATTTAAAAAATAAATAAATTGCCCAGATGGTTCTTGAACTAATTTTGTAGCCCAGGCTAGCCCCAAACTCTCCATCCTCTTGCCTCAGTCTCCCGAGCTGCCGGGATGACAGGCCTGTGTTACAGGTCCTCTTACTTGCTGAATTTGCCCAGCTTGTCTGTGGGGACCTCTCCTTTTGCAGACACCAAGACACAGGGACTGAGCCTAGGGAAGGCAGGACCTGCTCACATCCTTATCCCCAGACTGGCATCATGTTGTCCCTCTGCTAAAGCTCAGCAGAGCCAAGAGGAAACTCTTGGCCACCTTCTGTGGCTACAGGCAGTCACTGAGGCTCAGTGCCAGCCATGTGCCCCCTGGAAGCAGTGACAACAGGACAAGACCTTAGAGTTAGCCGTCCCCACACTGTACCTCAGGGACTTGTCTGGATCTGTCAAAGAAAGAAAGCAGGATTCAGGGGCCCATTGGCGTCTCCCATCTTGAGAGACTGAGGTGCCGGAATTTCAGCGCGTGCAACTACGACAGACACCCCGCCCCCAGCCTGTGTGATGACACACTACCCGAGTCTTCACTTCACGTTCACGGCTCTTACTCGCCACAGCTCGCTGGTTTTTGTTCTGCTTAAAAGTGAACTTGGGGGAGGGCAGGCACCATCATCCATCACTGCTTAAGTCTCCTATTGTCCCCATGACATTCCAGACAGCTTTCACTGGAAGGGACGGCACAGTGCGTGTTCTTACGGGCTGAGAATGTGAAGGGCATGGAAACCTGTCAGCTCAGCCAGCACTGCTGGGATGTGCGATTCTGAAAGCTGAAGGGCAGGCACAAAGCTCTGAGGAATGGGGCTGTGCACAGGACTGTCACTCACAAAGCGGTTCCCAGGGCAGGCCTGGCAGCCTCAGTGCCACCTCACCTGCCAAGCAACACTGTGATGTGGCCAGGATAGCCGGGTTGGTAAAACGGACCTGAGTTTCCCCTCCAGAACCCACATAAAGAATGCTGGGGGTGCTGGCGAGTTTGCAATCCCAGCACTGGCAGGCAGAAATGGGAGGACTCCTTGGCTGGCCTGTGGCCAGCCGAGCCTAATCAGTGACCTCCAGGCCATCCACAGACCTTGTCCCAAAAAATACGGTGGGAGCTGGAGAGAGAGCTCAGCAGTGAAGAGTGTCTGCTGCTCTTTCAGAGGACCAGGGCTCAGCTCCCAGCACCCATACGGTGGCTCACAACACACACACACACACACACACACACACACTCCAAGAAAAAAAATGGAAAAACCTAAGCAGAACACTAGGCCTGAACAAGGAGCATCTTTTTTTTTTTTTTTTTTTCGAGACAGGGTTTCTCTGTGTAGCTTTGCACCTGTCCTGGATCTCGCTCTGTAGACCAGGCTGGCCTAGAACTCACAGAGATCCACCTGCCTCTGCCTCCCGAGTGCTGGGATTAAAGGCGTGCGCCACCACCGCCCAGCCTACAAGGAGCATCTTGATAGGCATCTGGCAGAAGAGGCTGTGGGAGCTGCAGGAAGCTGGGATGGAAACTCCAGGCAGAATTGTGAAGGAGTACTCGCCTTTGCATCCTGCACATCAAATACTCTTTAGATTCATTTCTGCACAAAGCATTTTCAAAATTCTTGTCACGGAGACACTTCATGAATTTTTCTTTAAAGCTTTTACATTCACCTAAAAAGAAAAGGAAGACAGCGTCCTGTTTGTAAAGAGAAGGCCTGACCTGCTCACACAGCGGCCTGCAGGGCAGTGCTATGGTTTCCATCAAAATTTGTCTCCTTCCTGGGGCTGTGGATGTGGCTCTGGGGTAGAGTCCATGCTTGGCATACAATCACTTGGGGTCAATATCCATCACTTCAAAATAAAAATCAAAAACAAACAAGGAGGCTGAAGAGATGGCTCACTGGTTATCAACACCGGCTGCTCTTGTAGAGGAACTGAGTTTGGTTCCCACCACCCACATTGGACAGCTAAGAAATGCCTGTAACTCCAGCTCCAAGGGATCAAACACCCTCTTCTGGTCACCAAGGGTACTTGCACACATGTGGTGCATACACTCAGATGCACACACATGCACTCAGCTGTACACACATACACTCAGATGCACACACATACACACTCAAGATGTACACACATACACTAAGATGCGCACACACACACACAGATGCACACACATGCACTCAGATGCATACACATACAGTCAGATGCATACACATGCACTCAGATGCACACACATGCACTCAGATGCACACACACACAGATGCACACACATGCACTCAGATGCATACACATGCACTCAGATGCACACACACAGTCAGATGCACACACATGCATTCAGATGCACACACATACAGTCAGATGCATACATATGCACTCAGATGCATACACATGTACTCAGATGCACACACATACAGTCAGATGCATACACATGCACTCAGATGTACACATACAGTCAGTTATACACATATGCACTCAGATGCACACACATACAGTCAGATATACACACATACACTCAGATGCATACACATACATGCAAAAAATGCACACAGTGCACTCAGATGCACACATATACACGCAGATACACACATATAAAGTTAAACTCAGACACACATAAAGTTAAAATTTTTTAAAATAAATTTTAAAAATGGGAAACTTCCCAATGAAATGTTGGTGAAGAAAATAATAATCCAAGGAGATTAGAGCGCTCGGTGGGCAAAGGTACTTGTTACCCAGACTGTCAACCTGAGTGTGATTTCCAAGACCCATGTGGCAGAGAGACAGACACCCCCCCACTTCCCACAAGTTATCCTTTGACCCCATGTGTACCATGGCACACCCTCAAACACACTAAATACATAAATACTATTTAAAACGACAATCATCTCTAAAGCTGTCCCTCGAGATGGAGTCTCCATAGAAATTCACACAATGCTCAGTCTACACTAACAAGCCACCTAAACACCACATGTCAGCAGCATTTCTCAGGGTTGGTGGTTTTGTTCCTGGTAGGTTGGGGGTGGGGGTGTTTGTTTGTTTTCTTTTCTTTCTTCCTTTTTTTTATTTTATTATTATTATTTTTTTTTTTCGAGACAGGGTTTCTCTGTGTAGCTTTGCGCCTTTCCTGGGACTCACTTGGTAGTCCAGGCTGGCCTCGAACTCACAGAGATCCGCCTGCCTCTGCCTCCCGAGTGCTGGGATTAAAGGCGTGTGCCACCACCGCCCGACATTATTATTTTTTTATTTTATTTTTATTCTTATTTTTGTAGTGCTGAAGACTGAACTCAGGGCCTCCTGTTCCTGGGCATGCTAGGCCCCAGTTCATGAGACTGTCCAAAACCTTTTGCAAGTTTTTTTTTTTTTTCCTTCACAGGTTTCAGTTTTCCAAAAGGCACTTTAACTGTAGACGTCAGAACTGTGGATGGAAATCCTCTGGGCTGGAGGCACAGTTCAGAGGTGGAGCACTTGCCCAGCATGTGCCAAGTCCGGGTTCCAGCCCCAAATTGGATATCAAAAAGCTTTTTGAAAATATTTCTTTGCCTAATGTTCACTGAAGACCAGAGCCTCAAGCTGGGGAGGGATGGTGGCTCCCGGGCTAGCCACAGGGGAGCTTAACTGAGTTCTATTCCCGGAGCCCATCCCAGTCCTGGTCACATTAGACCCAAGTCTAAAGGAGCTCTCACTTGGAAGGACTGTGCCACGGCAGGTGGCTCTCTGAAATAGGGATCGTCGAGACTCAGTTTCCCTACCTGCACTCACACGGGCCTCTGAGAGGTGCCTGGAGCTCTAATTGCTCTGCACTCCCAGGTCCAGTACCTCAGACTCCACCCACCAGATCTAGCATCCCGGGTCCTGGTAACCAAATCCAACACCCCTGACCCTGCCACCCAGGTCTATCACCCCACACGCTGTCTCTCAGATCCAGTGCCTCACACCTGGGCTCTCAGCACCCCATTTCCTGTCATCCACATCTAACTCCTCAGACAGTGCACCTAAATCCAGCACCTCTGACCCTATCACCCAGATCTAGTACCCCAAGCCCTGCCACCCGGATCCAGTACCCCTGACCCTGCCATCTATCACAGAGAAACAGCACTCCAAACTGCCACCCAGACCGAGCACCCCAGACCCTAAACCCAGATCCAGTACCCCTAATCCGGTCACCCAGATCCTACACCCATAACCCTGTCACCCAATCCCAGCACCCCGACCCCGCTATCCAGAACTAGTACCCCAGACCTTGCCACCCACATCCAATACCCCTGACTCTGTCACCTGTCACCGAGAAACAGCATTCCAAACCCTATCACCCAGACTCAGCACCCCAGACGCTGCCACCCGATCCCGGGCCGCCGGCAGCCTGAGCCTTGCCTCGCCTCACCGAAGTGGTCCAGCGGGAAGCTTCCTTTGTCTGGTGGCCGCGGCTGGAAGCTTTTGGTCCCGAAGTTCATTGCGGTCGACATGACGGCCGGAGCAACAGCGGAGAGCAGCGGCAACGCAGGGCGGACGGTCGAGCACCGAGCAGGCCCAGGAAGCGCCGAGCTAGTCGAGCGGTGGGCCTGCCCCGCCCCGCCCACTCAGCCCCGCCCACCCGTCTAGGCCCCGCCCCGCGCTGTGCTCTGAAAGGGCGCAGTGGTGGTCGCAGTCAGGCGCTTTCCAGTCTTCTACTCAGCAGAAGCTCAGCCATCTTATGGTACCGATGGGCAAACAAGTCAGAGAGGTGCAGCCCCTTGCCCGAGGACACCAGTTTGTGCCCCGCGGTCTTCATCCCACCCAGCTGTCTGCCAGGGACTGAGTTTCCCATATGCTCAGAGGGTCTGATCAAGGCACAAAGCACAGTAAAGGAGCCGGTGGCTAGTTTCCTGTGGGCGGTGTTGTAGCACAGTGCACGTACAAGTGGTTGTTGTTTTTTCTAATTGTTTATTTTTATTTTATATGCATTGTTGTTTTGCCACGGGTGTTGGGTCCCCTGTGTATTGGGTCCCCTGAAACTGGAGTCACAGCTGTGAGCTGCCATGGGGTTGCTGAGAGTGGTACCCTGGTCCTCTGGAAGAGCAGCCAGTGCTCTTCCTCTTAATAACCGCTGAGCCATCTCTCCAGCACCACAAACAAGGGTTTACAGTCAGAAATTAAATCGGGGTGTAGTGCCTCGCACCTGTAGTCCCAGCTGGAGAGGCTGAGGCAGGAGAATTGCCTGAGTTTTAGGCAAACCTAGGCTACACAGCAAGACCCAGTTTCACAAAACAAAACCGCCGAAAAGGCACCTTCTGTGGTTCAAGAGACTAGAAGTCTGAGCCTAGGGTGTGGGCCATTAGCGCCGCCATTGTGGGCTGCTGTCCCTGCTCCCTGCTCTGGGAGCCCAGGGTCGTGTCCCCACCCCCCCGCCCCCCTGTCCCATGTCCCCCTCGCCCCCCGTCCCGTGTCCCGTCGTCCCCGTCCCCATCCCCCCGACACCACCCCCCACCCCCCCACCCCGCCTCTGGGGTGTTCTATCAATCTTAGGTAATTCTGGATTGCTAGAAACAATGTTCCCTCTGGGCCTCCACTTCTGGTGGCATTCTCCCCGTGTGTCTGTGTCCAAGAATTCCTTATATGAGGACACTGCCACATTGAGGTAAGGCCATCCCAACAATTTTTTTTTCTTTCTTTCTGTTTTGTTTTGTTTTGTTTTGAGGCAGGGTTTCTCTGCATAGCCCTGGCTGTCCTGGAATTTGCTCTGTAGACCAGGCTGGCCTCAAACTCAGAGACTGACCTGCCTCAGCCTCCCAAGTGCTGGAATTAAAGGTGTGAACCACCATGCTCAGCTCATCCAAACAATTTCAACCTCGGCTGCTCACATCTGCCATGATGCTGTTTCAGAAGGGGCCATCAGGTCCTGGGGTGGGGGTGGGTGGGACTGTGCCACATGGCTTTGGAAGGAATGTTCTGTGGTAATGGGATGCGGTCTACTGACTTGTTATGGCAGTACCGCCTGTCCCCAGAACCCCTGCTTTTCAGCTGGGGGATGGGGAAGACCACTTGCTCCTTGCCTCCCAACACTGGCTGTGATTGTGGGATGCTGTCCATCATTCCATCACAGCCACAAATGTCACACAACCATCCAGACCCTGGCAGTGAGCAGGAGGAGCATCCGTGGGCTCATAGCGGCTGGGGTGGGGGGCAGCTCTTTCCCTCTACAGTCCTCTGACAGACCCCAGCCTCACTAATACTTCCAGTGTTGGGTAGAAGAAGCAGTTCCCCGGGGCTGCAGAGAGGTGCTTGGCCAGCAGAGCCCAGCCCAGAGCCCACCCCAGAGCCCACCTCTTCCACCTTGCTGGGTCCCCCTCCAAAGCCATCCATTGGTCTCCTTGCTGGATTCCATGCTGGCTTCCTGTGGGGAAGGCTGGATTTAGCTTCCGCTGTCCAGACCGATGGACTGCCTTGCAGAGGGGTGCCATTTCCCTATCCAAACCTCCAGAAAGCCCATTCCACATCTAGTTCAGCTTACCTCTCAAGAAGGGGCCTGGGGGGGGGGGCTGGAGAGAGGGCTCAGAGGTTAAGAGCACCGACTGCTCTTCCAGAGGTCCTGAGTTCAATTCCCAGCACCCACATGGTGGCTCACTACCATCTGTAATGAGATCTGGCAACCCTCTTCTGTATACATAATAAATAAACAAATAAATAAATAGATAAATAAATAAGTAAATAAAAAGAAGGGGCCTGGGGAGGCAGCTCAGCAGGCAAGAGCACTTGCTGTACAAGCATGAGGACCCGAGTTCAAATCCCCAAAGCCTACAAAAAAATAAAATAAGAAATGCCAGACCGGGTGGCACGGGCCTAAAAGCCCAGCACTAAGGAGTTGGGGCTTGCTGGCTGCCAGCTTAGCTCCAGGGTCAGCAAACACCCTGTCACAAGGCGGTAAGTGGACAGTGCTAAAACAGGACACCTGGCAGCCTCTTCTGGTTTCCACACGGGCATGGGGTACACACATATACACGTATGTGCACATATACCACACACACACACACACACACACACACACACACACACACAGTGGGGGTGGGGGACTCCAGAAGGAAAACTGTACTTTGTCCTTGTCATAGAAACACCTCTTCTCCACCTTTTCCATGCCTGGGACCAGGGGCCACACACTGAGTTACTCATTAATTTTTTTTTTTTTTTTTTGAGCTGTGAACAATGGTGGCTTTTATGACTCAGCAAGCAGCCCTGTCTGTTTGAAATGAAAGGACATCTCTGTCCCTGAGGTGGCAGGACCTCTGTCAGGCAGCTCTGAAGAACCAAAAAAGCAGCAGAGGCTGGCGTCGGGGCCGTGACGGCAAGCTTTTCACCCGCCATTCCTGGGAAACGGCTACTGCCTTGTGGGAGCTTTGTTGTTGTTGTTTGTTTTGGGTTTTGTTTTGTTTTAAGACAGGGTCTCGCTATGCAGCTCTGGCTGGCCTCAAACTCATTGAGAGCTGCCTCCTGACTGCTGGGCTTCTAAGTGTTGCGATCGAAGGTGTGTACCACCACACCCAGCTGTTTAGCTGAGGGAGGTTTGTGTGTGTGTGTGTGTGTGTGTGTGTGTGTGTGTGTGTGTGTGTGTGTGTAGTGGGATACACCTGCATGTGCACATATGGAGGCCAGAGCAGGATGTCAAGCGTCTTCTTCCACATGGGTTTGAGGTGGGGTCTCTCTCGGAACTGGAAGCTCACCACCTTTGGCAAAGCTGGCTGGTCAACAGGCTCTCCAGATCTCACGTCTGTGTCCCCCCAGGGCTGGGGTTACTGACCTGCACAGCCATGCCTGGCTTTTTATGTGGATGCTGGCGATTTGAACTCCAGGCCTCACGATTGTGCAGCAAGCACCCTTACTTATGAAGCCATCTCCCTATCTTTTGAGACAGAGTCTCTTACTGGCCCTGGGGCACCCCAGTTCAGAAGACTGGCTAGCCAGTAAACCCTAGGGGTCTTCTAGTCTCTGACTGCTCATCACCAGGAATACTCATGTATCAACCATCCAGCTTTTGTATGGATGCTGGGGGATCTAAACCCAGGTCCTCAAGCTTGCACAAGTACTTTACCATTGAAGCCATCTGTCCAGCCCTGAGATTTATATGTGTGTGTGTGTATAAATTTATATATATATATATATATATATATATATATATATATATATATATATATATATATATATATACTTTTCAGTTTATGTATCTGACAAGTGGTGAAAGAACTCCCAGCTTTGACCCGATGCCCTACTACAACCAACCCACTCAGGCTGATGACAGGCGCATGGGTATGTCCTGGGATTGTTGGTATTCTGCACCTAGGTTCTACCAGGCCACCTAGGCTTCCTCCCAGCATGGCACTAAGGCCTAAAAGCTGGGTGGGAACTATATCTCTTTATGACCTAGCCTGCGGAGTGCTATAGTATCCCCCACAGCGCCTCTAGATCCAAGGGTGGGAAATACAGACCCCTTCTGATAGAAAGAGAGCAACATTAGGCCGGGCGGTGGTGGTGCACGCCTTTAATCCCAGCACTCGGGAGGCAGAGGCAGGCGGATCTTTGTGAGTTCGAGGCCAGCCTGGTCTCCAAAGCGAGTTCCAGGAAAGGCGCAAAGCAACACAGAGAAACCTTGTCTCGAAAAACAAAAAAAAGAAAAAAGAAAGAGAGCAACATTGCATTACATGAAGGACATATGATCAAGAACATCTGTGTGGCCATCTTTGGTGGGCGCTCACCCACCTCCACATCAGGTCAAGGCCAGATGTAACCTGAACTGTCCAATCAAGCTCTGCATACAGGGATTGCTCGGGGCATCTGTCAGCCTGGCCCCAAGTAAGTCTGATGAGAACAGACCCTTGGAGGATTGAGTAACCATGCTGGAGACTGTTGGCGCCACACCTTTGCAGGGCGTGGGGGAAATTCCATAAAAATGTAAAAAGGGAACAGCCCGGGGCTGGGGATGGAGCTTAGTAAAAGTAAGATTTAATCCCCAGCACTGAAAAAAAAAGAACAGCTACCAGACATGATGGTGCACACCGACAAGGCCAGGCAGCACTCTGTGGGAGGAGTCGGGAGGAGGGGTCAATGGTCAACCCGGCTACGTGCTACACACATAGACTGTCTCAAAAAACGTAGAAGTGGGGATATAATTCAGTAGTAGAGCGTTAGGTCTCAAACCCCGGACAAACTGAGGTGCCTATTTAACATAACAAAACAGACCTGGCCACCAGGTTTCCCAGCATCTCTCAGTCCCTACTTGTTACAGGGAATATGGCTGGCATACCCCGCCCCCTACCCTAAACTCCTCCAACCCAGGGACTGGGCTGTCCTTCCCCCAGCTGCCCTTCCCTATATAATCCAGCCATTTTGGTTACCCGGCTCTTTTGTCTGCCCTTTACTCTCCTGGCTCTCCCCTGTCTTCTCAACCCCCCTCCTCACAAGGCCCAGCTCAGGGTCATGTCCTCTCTGGACTCTCCCAGACGTCCCTGCCTCCGGCTATGCTCTCTCATACCTACAGTGAACCTCCACTCTACCTGGGAGAAGTCATAT